AGAGTTCAACATACAATTTTGTTTTATTTGCAAATTCAATATACATTTTAACCAAGTTTAATCACGTTTAATAATATTTTGCGATATTTTCTCCAGCGCATTTGAGCGTTGATTTTATTCAACATTTACTCGACGTCTTTGAGTCACGTTAAATCGACGTTTTACTACCAACGTTACAAGTCCTTGCGAAATGAACTGCTTTAACAACGTTAATGTAACGCTCTCCAAGTAACGTTTTTTCAACGTTAAGTTGCGGCGCCTATGCAACGCTTTTTAAGTAACGCTTTTTCAACGTTTAGTTGAGACATTTTTGTAACGTCTTTTAGTAACGTTTTTTCAACGTTACGCTACAACGATTAATCAACGTCTCTTTAATAACGTGACATATCTTTGCAAAATCGATTACTTTGTCAACGTTTTCCACAACACCTTTTGCGACAGGTTTTCAACGTTGATTCAACGCTGACATGTTTGCTGGGTATATATATATATATATATATATATATATATATATATATATATATATATATATATATATATATATATATATATATATATATATATATATGTATATATATATTCACACCTACTAAAGCGTGTTTTGATAAGCATTTGCTTACTTTTTTTGCTAATCTTAAGCTATACCGTCTTTTTCGAAAAAGAAGAAGAAAAAACGAAGTATGATGAATGAAACGATTGTTTCCCAAACCCTCACTCAATGTACCAGCACCCCACTGCGAGTCAGGCTATTTGTCAGTCGATGTATATACTGAAGCTCCCAGCAGCATGCTATTTCAGTATGACGTCAGGTTGCTTACAATAGTACGCAATACTGTTTGTATATATATATATATATATATAATATTTATATATATAATATATATATATATATATATATATATATATATATATATATATATACATGATTTAAATGTTGACATCTTGTACGAGAGTAAATATATATATATATATATATATATATATATATATATATATATATATATATATATATATATATATATATATATATATATATATATATATATATATATATATATATATATGAAATTTTCGCCGGGTTATAGGCACTGGCATTATCAGCATATAATATAATTATAAAAATTGTGACCGTTAAATAACAACAAAAAATTTTTAAATTTTGTCGTCACCTTTATAATGGCTTCTTTTACCTAAGCATGAAAAAAATGAAGTCCTAAAATTTGTTTTTAAATATTGTCCATTGTCGAAATTTATACCACCGTACGTTGGAGAACATTGATGTTTTTGTATCTCTAAGGCCTCACTGACTTTTCTTTCAAATTTTTTATCCTCAACTTTAAGTGTTATTTCTTTATTTCATTTAATGTCTTCATTACAATTTACTTTATGCAAAGCTAATGCAGACTGGTTTAACTTGCCTTCAGTCAAAAATTTTGGGTGTTGTTGAACCCTTGTTCGTATTTGAAGTTTTGATTCACCAACGTATACTTTGGAGCATTTGCACTTAATTAAATAGGTTCCTGGGGTGCTGTTGCATGGTAATTTAGACTTATTTTTAGACGTTAATAGCGTTTTAAGGTTATCATTTGATATAAAAACAGTTCTGTAACCAGCTTTTCTGAATATTTTTTTAAGTCTGGGAGATATTACTGGTATCCATGGTAAAGAGAATTAAAAATTTATCTCATCTTTTAAATGGTTTTCGCTGCATATTGAGTATGCTTTGTGTATGTATCCCTTGAATATTACTTTTAAAATTTTAGGATCATGATTAGAATGAGGTTTGATTTGGATATTGGTTATGACATCCTTCTTGTAAACCTTGAACTCATATTTTCCTTGGGTATTATTAAAAATAGTTATATCCAAAAAGTTAAGTATCTTATTTTGTTTTCAACCTCAATTGTATATTTTAAAGAAGGCTGTTGTCTGTTAAAAATTGTTTGGAACTGTTCCGCTTGATTTAAGTTAGAAAACCCTGCATGGCTATCGTCTACATATCTATGAAAGGGTTTAATATCAATTAAAAGAATCATTGTCGTTGCCATTTTTATTGCTTTTTCCTCATGGTATTGTAAAAAAGATTCAGCCAAAACAACCATAAAAGACAATCCAATTGGGCCTGAATTCTCCAACTCATGAATCTCACCATTCCACAAGAAACAACAACAAAACAAACAAAGTTTAATTAGTTGTTCTGTTTCCGTTAAAGTAAGTTTAGTTGAGTTTTTGTAAGAAACGCTTTTATTTAATTGATTCAAAAGTATTAAAGTTGCTTCTTTTAATGGTATTGATGGGTATAAGTTCACAATATCAAAAGATACCTGTATTTCCTTTTTGTCAATCAACCGCGACTTAGTCTCGCTAATAAAGTCTTTTGAATATTTTAACCTAATAGGATTTTCATTTAAGACCAGTTGTATTCTTTTAACCAAGTAATTCGAAATTCCATAACAAGGTGTGCCAATAGTTGATACAACAACTCTTATCGGATAAGATTTTTCGTGTTTATGAGCTTTAATTAACCCATACAAACGTGGTGGGACAGGATCACTCGGGTATACGCATTCATATTCATCATTAGAAAAACGTTGCTTTTTGTTAAGTTTTGAAAGGAAAGACTTTATTTTAGCTGCATAACTTAGATTTATATATATATATATATATTTATATATATATATATATATATATATATATATATATATATATATATATATATATATATATATATATATATATATATATATATATATATATATATATATATATATATATATATATATATATATATATATATATATATATATATATATATATATATATATATATATATATATATATATATATATATATATATATATATATATAAATATATATATAAATTTCTAGGTTTTAATTTTTTTTTTCTTTCAGACTAACGTATTTTTCGATAAAAAGTACTAAACACGTAACAACCAAAACATTGAACTAAAAATTTTTCTTTTTCTCTATTAAATATGATTAGCAAGTTTATATCCTACTATAGGTGAGGATCTCTTAGAAACTGATCTGCAACTATAAATTTTGGATAAAAAACTTCAACTTCACTTTAAATAATTTTAATAACTTCATTTTATTAACTTGAATAATAGCTTCGTATCACCTTTTAAAAATATGTACTTTGAAAGCTCATCTCTGATATTTGGAAGGCAGCAAAGATCGTTTTTAACAATAACAATGTTTTTAAAAACAAAATTAATGAATTTCTTTGCAGAACACGTTGCAGCAAAGATTGTTTGTAACAATAAGAGTGTTTTTTTAAACAAAATTCATGAACTTATTTGTAGAACACGTTTGTTTAATACCAGTTTGTGTTTTAATTTACTGAGTTAAAGAGAAAATATGGCATTGCAATAGAACCCAAGTGATATCAAAATTGATTTTTATAGTGTATTCAATTGGTTAAATTCTGAATTGAATTATGACAAACCTGTAAAATGTGCTGAGCAATGCAAAATGCTAATTTGAAAAAGACTTCAAGCATTTGGAAAATTGGTTGAAGATTATGCCATAAATCTAAATGTTACATGGGTAACGATAACAAAAAATATTGCAGACGAACTCACATGAGCGCCAACGAAATGGATAAAATACAAAGTTGCAACATACGAATGTAATATCATTTATAAGCATAATCAATAAAGAACCCCAAAATATAATTTGGGAAACCCATTTTTCCGGCAACGTTGAAAGAGGAAGATGATGTTGTGACCCCCTCCTCTTCTCCTAATTAAACGAGTGCTGCAACAATAATTTTTAATAATCATTTAAGTTTATCATGTTTAGTAGTATCCTATTATAAAGAATTGATTTAAAGGCATTTTTTTTGAATACATGAATTTACTGGTGGGCGATGTTACTTTAGATTCAATAAGAAAGCTATTTTACTTAAGACTTTAACAAACCCTTTTGTTGCAAATACCACGCTAACAGTAAATAATTATTGAAAATTGTTTAAAGTATTTTAAACATTTATTAACTATATTTTAGTAAATTTAATTTTAGTGTTTAAATGTTTAAATACCTTAAATCATTTTTAATCAATATTTACATTAAATAATATATTAAATCACGTAATATTTGCAAAGTTAACAAAATAGTTTTAGGTCTTGTATTTAAATTAAAAACATAAGCATTTAATAAACAAATTTGTTAAGCATTTAATAAACTATTTGAAAAAATAACATAAGCATTTAATAAACTTATTTACTAATTATTAAATTTAAAATTTTGATTTAAATATTAGCAAATCTGTTCATTTAACTTTTACTAAAGGTTAATAATTTTTAAAATGATTTTAAGGCGCCTTCTAAATTAAAGATAATTATAAAAGAGATGATTGCGGTAAACAAAATTTTAAAAATGAAATGTTTTTTTGAATTAAAAGCATATAATAAATTAAAAAACATTAAAAAATATATATATATATTTTATATATAATTAAGTATAATTTAAAAAACTTACGTTTATTTTATTTATATAATTACGTTTATATAAATAAATTACATTTACTGTGTGTTATTTTAAACAGATTTTAATAAAACTTCTATCAAGTTATTGAAATCTTTATTTTTATTATTTTATAAGTCAAAAAGAATATCGAAAAGAAATAAAACGTTCTGAAAAAGTTTACGCTTTGTTTTTTTATTTTCCTTACGTAAGCAAGCTAAAGATCAAAAGTTCATTCATTCAAAAATTAAGCTTGCAGATAGTTACGACAGTTAGTAACTGGAGGCCAATTATGTCACGTAGTTATGTAAAAAAGTTTTTACATTTTCTTTTTAATTCATTATATTGTCCTGAAGAAAAAATTGAGGCAGCTAAA